TCTGATATGAGACAATTGAATGAAGCTGTTGAGAGAGAAGGCACAGTATTAGGAGGATCACTGGAGAGTGCTTATGATTTATACACTGACTTACAAAATGCTTATACTATAAACTAATGTCTATATATTTATAAAAATGCATGCATGCGTGCAATTTAATGTAGATCTATAATGCAGTCATTTTATATGAGTGGTTTAATTTTAAAATGTTTGCATAAAAAAGGATACAGGAAGTGGTTTAGGTCTAAACTCTAAATAGCAACAGTAATTACAGTTCAGATCGAAAATTACATGGAGTTGCTCGATTCTTTCCGAGGTTCTTTGTCAATCATATGTCTTCTGTGGCTTTGCTGTAAGGTTATAATCGCCAGTGCTAACTGACCTATTCGTTTCCTTCGATCTCCATTTTTTATTAGGTATTGGGCAAGGGAAGGAATGTACCAGACTAATGGACCAATCATTAGTAGCATACAGAGCACAAAATATAAGAACTAGTGCAGTTGGAAGCTATTTAAGTGGTACACTAAGAGTCCTTCAAGAGTATCGGTTCAATTGTTCATCCACTAATATAACCAGTCTTATATTGGGTATTGATGTGAGACCTGGCTATAAACCTCTTCAGGTGAGATTGACGGTGGCCTATGAATATCATTACTGTTTATTACGGTATCCATCTACGGTGATAATTGGCCGCCATTTTGGACGGCAAGATTCAATGGAGGATGAATGAAGAAAGGGCAAAACTGATTCTTTTCGTTGGCATGGAGCTTTTTCAAGCTACAAAAGCTGATTGGAGGAAAGAATGGTCGCTGCTAAGCATATCCTAAAAGAGATTTGGTGCAATATGAAGCATATTCTTTAATAGAGCTTGCTTTCTGCATTAGCCTATTCATACTCCATAGAAAGTTGCCGTCCACGAAAATTATTTCAGAGTCAGCCAGGCTCAGTCACGCCCCTTGCCGTATATCATTCCTTGACGTAATTCATTCTCACCCAAAGAGGTCTATACTATGTTTCCCAGCGTCCAGGTCTTTAGACGTGTTGGTGCCTCTAATAATTATAACCTAATGACTGAGAGAACTATCTTTTATTCTACTTCTAATGTCAGTACTAGCGGAATGTTTGAATATCCACTCAATCCTCCTATACCAGTAATGAGTGGAGACCTGTTAGCTGTATCACAACCAGAACAAGGACTCAGTACTGTTAGATTGTACTACATTGATAATGTTCCAGGGGTCAGCTTCAGTAGCAGTCAGCAAACATTTGGTGAAAATAGTTTTAAATTGAACAACCTTCCAACCACCACAAATCAATTGATATTAGTATATCCAGTAACAGGTAAGACACACACTCACTGTATCATTGAATTATTTTACTATCATTAGATGGATACTGTGTTAATAGTACCAATTCAATCAATGCTTCATTCATTTGGGAAAATGCTCTTAGAATACATCAATCACAAATGTTTCAAAATCAAAGACAGTATTTATATCTTGATATGTTCTTCTTGTGTAATGGATCAGTTACTAAATGGATCTTTGGAGCTGAGAATCAAACCAATAATCAAAATGCATTAGCAGAATTCCAGATATGGCGCCCACAAAGTTCAAGTAGTTACAATAGAGTTTCATTTAGTTCAGTCACACTCAATGATGTTACAATGATTGGTACCAATCTCTATGAGTTTATTCCTCAGACTCCACTGCAGTTCCAGGAAGGAGACATATTTGGTGTTTATATTCCTTCACCAGGTTCAAGTCGATTA